TGGCTGGCGCCTTAGCCACTTGAGCCACAGGCGCCGAGCCGGCTTTTACTCTTAAGTGGAAAACAAGATTAACTATGGCAGGCACCTGTAGTCCCAGCTACTTAGGAGGCCAAGGCAAGAGGATCGCATGAACTCAAGAGTTTGAGGTTTCTGTGAGGGATGACCCAAGGTACTTAACCAGGGTGACAGAGTGAGACTCTGTCTCTAAAAAAGTCTGGAGTACCATCGCCCATGCCTGTAATCTCAGCACTTTGGAGTCAGAGGCAGGAGGACCACTTGATGCCAGGAGTTCAAAACCTACCTGAACAACATAGAAAGATCATCTCTACAAAAAAATTAAAACTTAAGTTGTGGTGGTTCATCCTTATAGTCCTAGATACTTGAAAGACTGAGGCAGGAGGATAGAGTTCAAGGCTGCAGTGAGTTATGATTATGCCACTACACTCCTGCCTGGGTGACAGAGCAAGACCCTGTCTCTAAAAAGAAAAATACTTAGCATTCGGGGAGGCTGAGGTGAGTGGACTGCCTGAGCTCACAGGTTTGAGACCAGCCTGAGCCATAGGGAAACCTTGTCTCTAAAAATAGCTGGGCACTGTGGCTAGCGCCTATAGTCCAAGCTACTTGGGAGGCTGAGGCAAGAGAATCACTTCAGGCCAAGAGTTTGTGGTTGCTGTGAGCTATGACACCACAGCACTCTACCAAGGGCAACAAAGTGAAACTCTGTCTCAAAAAAATAAAAATAATTTAAAAAATAATACATAAATAAATATTAAAATAGTGACTCCAAGGATTATTGTGAAGGCCAAATTGAATGTAATAATATAATAACTCAAAAATCAGTAGGTATTAGTTATCGTACTATGTGGCCTCTAGCATGTCTCCTGTCTCCCTGAATTAATTTTTTCAGGTTTTTATTTAGAGATAGAGTCTTACTCTTTTGCCCTCAGTAGAGTGCTCTGGTGTCCCAGCTCACAGCAACCTCCAGTTCTGGGGCTTAGTCGATTCTCTTGCCTCAGCCTCCTGAGTAGCTGGGACTATACAGGTGCCCGGCTATTTGTTGTTGCAGTTTGGCTGGGTTTAAACCTACCACCCTCGGTATATGGGGCCAGCACCCTACTCACTAAGCCATAGGTGCTGCCCAACCCTTTTAGCTATTTCATTTTTTTCCAGACATTTTGTGCACTGTGACTCCATTAGCCTATGTCCTAGGAGAACTTAAAAAGCAGGGCCTGGAGTTTTTAAATTTTTATTTATTTTTAAAATTAATTAATTAATTAATTTTTTTGAGACAGAGTCTCACTTTGCCACACTTAGAGTGCCATGGCATTATAACTCACAGCAATCTCAAATTCTTGGGTTCAAGTGATTCTCTTGCCTCAGTCTCCCAAGTACAGCCGCCCGCCACAATGCCCGGCTATTTTTTGAGACAGGGTCTTGCTCTTGCTCAGGGTAGTCTTGAACTCCGGAGCTCGGGCAGTCTGCCTGCCTTGGCCTCCTAGAGTGCTAGGATTACAGGCATGAGCCAGTGCGCCTGGCCCTTTTTTTATTTTTGTTTTCTGAGATAAAGTATACCATTTTAAAGCATCTGCTGGTTTTTAGTATATTTACAGTGTTGCCACTGTCTAATTCCAGAACATTTCCACCACCAAAACATAACCCCATACTCATTAAGCAGTCATCTCTGTTCCCCATCCCCCAACCTCTGGCAAACATTGATCTATCTGTATGGATTTGCTTATTTTATTCTTTATTTGTCTTTATTTTTATTTATTTATTTTTAAATTTAATTAATTTTTTTTTTTTTAAAGACAGAGCTTCAAGCTGTCACCCCAGGTAGAGTGCCATGGCATCACAGCTTACAGCAACCTCCAATGGGAATCAGGAAAGGCCTTACTGAGAAAGTGTCATTTGAGCAATAATTGAAAGAGAGAATAAGAGCCAAATAATATCTGAAGGGAGAACATTCTAGATGGAAAGAATGGCCAATGCAAAGTGCATGAGGTGGAAGTGTCCCTAGAAGAGCATATTGGCTGGGGCTTAAGCAATTCTCCTGTCTCCACCTCCCAAGTAGCTGGGACTATAGGGGCCTGCCACAATGCCCAGCTATTTTTTGGTTGCAGCCATCACTGTTTGGCAGATCAGGCTGGATTTGAACTCACTAGCTCAGGCCACTTGAGCCATAGGTGCCGAGCCATAATTTAATTTTTTTTTTTTGAGAGAGAGAGAGTCTCATTATGTCACCCTTGGTAGAGTGCCGTGGCATCACAGCTCACAGCAACCTCAAAC